CAAAAATACCTACAAACACGTTATCAGAACAATTTTAAAAATGGTAATCCCTCTATGAATCATATAGACTACATAGTTCTCCTTATGATTTCAAAATATTTCTAAGATAATGTTCAACAGTTTGAAGTTATTGAAATCATCAAACGTCAAACGTTAACACTTCAGGTCTCATAAAAATGAGAGCCCTCAATACTATCTACAATGTAAATATAAAACTTTGCAACCTATCGGGCTTACACGAAAAAATTGTCTTGCTACGCGCCTGACATGGCATGACAGATTAAATATAGTCATGTTGAAAATTAGGATTTTCTTTAACTTCTTTTGAACCATATACATGAGTATCCCATATTTCACTCCCATAATCAGGCGCGGATTTTAACTTGAGTTATCGAATAATGTCGCTTAAAGAATTTTGTTATTCGACTAGAAAATAGTTTTACATCTGACTAAGCATTCTCGCTTATCCTCGTAATATCTCTCAGTTCTAAACGATATATGTCCTCGGTTTCAGCCCTTTTCGAACAAATAACTAAAAGTAGCCATCCAATCAGATTACTCGCATGAGCGAGAACAATTCTGTGCTACATAATTATAAGAGAGATGTACACTGTGGTGACACAAGGCTATGGTGTTGAATAGGTACCGAACGTTTATTGTAATCGATGTGAAATATATTAAATGATCGAGATGCTAAAACGATCGGGACAAGCATGTGAAAGCGATACAAATATAAATTTATTTATGAAATATGACAGTTTATATTCAATAACACAAAAACGCCAGGCAGTGTCTAACATGCTTCACATGACATTCACGGGTATGAAATTCATAATTGTATCGCACGCGAATGACCTATCGTGTGTTCAGTGCAAATGGCAGTTTATCGACATTATGAGATTTAGTTTTACACGCGTATCTGATCATACGCCATTTACTGAGATGACTTAGTGATATTGGTTTGGAGTGAGTGAGTTTAGTTTTACGCCGCACTCAGCAATATTCCAGCTATATGGCGGCGGTCTGTAAATAATCGGGTCGCCTTTTGTGGCAAGCATGGGTTGCTGAAGACTTATTCTACCCCGGATCTTCACGGGTCGATATTGGTTTGGAAGTTTGTTGTTGTTCATTAAGGACAGCGTTGAATACACAATGCCATGACTACGCAATGCCATTTACTAAGAAAGTGCGATCTCAAATATTACATATGTTACAAGGACAACGTTTTTCAGCATTTTTCGAAAATGATTTTTGATGAGTGAGTGAGTGAGTTGGGTTTTACGCCGCTTTTAGCAATATTCCAGCAATATCAGGGCGGGGGACACCAGAAATGAGCTTCACATATTGTACCCATGTGGAGAATCCAACCCGGGCCTTCGGTGTGACGAGCCAACGCTCTAACCACTAGGCTACCCCACCGCCCCTGATTCTTGATGATACTGATGAAGGTGTCAACGTTATTTTGGAACATGTGAGATGCTGTGTTGTGTTCGTCGTGATCGTATATTGTAAAACTATTAAACAAACGTTTCACTACGCATTTGGATGGCGTTTAAAAGTGATACAGCTAAGGGTGATTATCTATTTATCTATTTGTCTATTTGTTGGGTTGAGTCCCAAGCCGCGGTGGGTGAGCGGGTTAGGCGGCTGACATTGTGTACTGGCGATTATATGCCTGAGGGTGTGGGTTCGAATCCTAAATGAGACTCAACCCAACAAAAAGTACTAGAATCTGTACTTCATTGGTACATGGGTACAATGTGAAGCCCATTTACGGTGTCCCCGCCGTGATATGCTGAAATATTGCTAAAAGCGGCCAAAAACAAACTCACTCACTCACTCTAAATGACATTGTTTATTCATATGTGTCTATTGCTATTGCTAATCGATTACCACCGTTTTTTATTTGTCCATTTTTAATTACGAATCAGTGCTAATTAAACTTTTGGATCCCGCACCAAAAATCTATTTTTAGCGCTAAGGAGTTCGTAACTCCCATTTTTTATCATAGACTTACGAAGGACTTACGAGAGTCGTAGGGCAACAATCATCAGTCGTGGGGCGGGAACCTGGGCCTCAGTCGTTCAGTCTGCCCAAATTAACCATTGGCTCCCCTAGGTAAGATTCAACCTTTGTTATCATATTACAATATATATGTTCTCTGCATCCTATCAATTACTCACCAGATCCATAAGTAAACATATACTTCATTATGTTGTGTTTCTCACAGTTTAGAAGTTGACACACATAAATTCTCTCCCTTAACGGTTTTCCCGAGCACAAATTCTACTATTGCGTCAACATTGTGTGATTGGTTCTCCTGTTCCGATGATTGGTTGGAATTGGTCTTCGGCAACCCATGCCTGTCGTAAGAGGCGACTAACGGGATCGGGTGGTCGGGGTCGCTGACTTGGTTGACACATGTCCTTGCATCTCAGTTGCGTAGATCAATGCTCATGCTGTTGATCACTGGAGTGTCTGGACCAGACTTGATTATTTGCAGACCGCCGTCACATAGCTGGAATATTGCTGAGTGCGGCGTAAAACAACAAAGAAACAAACAAAACTGTCCTAAAAAAACAAGATCGTGATTTGGATATGGACCGTATCATATCATTTTTATTGAAAAAGTTTTGCCTATTTGAAAACCAGGTAGTAGTTCCTGAATTAATTTAATCAAATGTGGCAATATTTTTCAGACAGAAAACATTCTACTAGGCATATAAATAAAGTATTGATTACGGATAATTTCAATATTCAGCTGATATATTCAAATCCAACCATAGCGTATGGCAACATTGAACATGACCACCGGGTGTCTGGTTACAAGCGATGCGACACATGTAGTTTATGAGTATTTAACAACCCGGCCATGTTTGCCCTCGGGGTAATAAATGTATCTGATCCATATATCACGTGTACGTTCTGCGATGTGTGAGGCAGGATGTCACACTGTAGCATGAAGCTATGGGACGGGTTTCCGTGATCTAAAGCGCCACTCAGTTTTGTCTGTGGTTAGAATTCAAAGTTCGCCCTGATTTCGATTCGTGGTTTGTAAGCAACATATCTCATTCAGTGTCTGACCAGTGTGTGGGACCGCCTCCGTGGTGTAGTGGTTAGGTCGCGGGTTCTATCCCCGACCCCGTCATACCAAAAGACGTTAAAATATGGTACTTGTTGGTCCCTGCCTGGCGCTCGGCATTAATGGGTACAACAAGGACTGGTTGGCTCTGAGTCATTATAATGTGTGTGAGTGGGGTATTCATGCTTCACTGCGGCATGGTATCTCAGTGGGCTAGCACTATAAAACCAGCTTCAGTCTGGGCTAGTACAATCAGCCGCACATACACATACACACGCATGCACGTCGTCATATGAGCGAAATATTCTCAAGCACGACGTTAAATCCAATTCCACCACCAAACTACAAAGGTGTGAGTGAGTGAGGTTAGTATTACGCCGCACTCAGCAATATTCCAACTATATGGCGGCGGCCCTACAAAGTAGACTCTCTTTATGAATAGCAACTTATTTCGGGAATGAACTGAACTGAACTTTATGACACTCATCTCCCTGCGGTGACATTAGAGGACGACATGTCTGTATTAGGACTGACTGACTGAGTTTAGTTTTACGCCGCTTTTAGCAATATTCCAGCAATATCACGGCGGGGACACCAGAAATGGGCTTAACACATTGTGCCCATGTGGAGAATCGAACCCGGGTCTTCGGCGTGACGAGCCAACGCTTTAACCACTAGGCTACCCCACCGCCCCCTGTATTAGGATGTTCACGTCGATTTAATAGTATATTGAAGAACTTGTTATCCATACATTGTCTGCATGTTATCCGTTAACTATTGGGAATGCTCTCCAACCAAGCTCATGTTTGGCTTTCTCCCTCTGTGCACTCTCTCTCCCTCTCTCTGTGTGCACGGGGGCGATGGGGTAGCCTAGTGGTTAAAGCGTTCGCTCGTCACGCTGAAGGCACGGGTTCGATTCCCCATATAGGTACAATGTGTGAAGCCCATTTCTGGTGTCCCCAGCCGTGATATTGCTGGAATATTGCTAAAAGCGGCGTAAAACCATACTCACTCACTCACTCACTCTGTGTGCACGCTCTCTCTCTCTGTCACGGTCTCTCTGTGTGTGTGCACGGTCTCTCTCTCACCCCCTCTCTCTGCATCTCTCTCTCTCTCCCACTCTCTCTCTCTCTCCCCCTCTCTGTGTGCACGGTCTCTCTCTCACTCCCTCTCTGTGCACGGCCTGTATCACCCCTCTGTGTGCACGGTCTCTCTCTCTGTCTCTCTCCTCTCTCTGTGTGCACGGTCTCTCTCTCTCTCTCTCTGTGCACGGTCTCTCTCTCTCTGTGTGTGCACGGTCTCTCTCTGTGCACTCTCTCTGTCACCCCCTCTGTGCACGGTCTCTCTCTGTGTCTGTCTGTCTCTCTGTGTGTGCACGTCTCTCTCTCTCTCTCTCTCTCTCTCTGCACGGTCTCTCTCTCCCTCTGTGCATTCTCTCTCTCTCTCTCTCCCTCTCTGTGCACGGTCTCTCTCTCACTCACTCTGTGTGCACGGTCTCTCTCCCTGTCTGTGTGCACGGTCTCTCTGTGTGTGCACGGTCTCTCTCTCTCACCCCCTCTCTCTCTCTCTCTCTCTCTCTCTCTCTCTCCCTCTCTCTGTGTGCACGGTCTCTCTCTCTCTCTCTGCATGTGCCTCCCCATCTCTCTCTGCTGTGCACGCGTGACACCATGTGTGGCGTAGAACTACATCGCTCTCAACCCCTTTTCTGAAATCTTCGCATACCGTGCATTTACTGAGCATTGTGGGTCAACATCTATAGTTATATGAAAACATCTCTGAAAACCTTTTCCAGAGAAAATTGCAAAATTGATGAAAGGCCAACTAGCTTTCGCCCACTCACTGTAGTTAAGCCTTGTACCAACAAACAACAGTCGGAATGCAGCCATTAAATAAACTCCCGGATGTTACTTCACTGCAACGACGTGCACGACGTGCCAGTGTCGTCTTGAATTATACATCATACTGTTGTCAGTCGGACAAACCTCACCCGGCTATGTGATAGGCCGAATATAAGTATTCCACGGTTCAATTAGAGGTTCAGCAGCACACAAATATCGCATTGATTATATTGTTGACAATGCTAAACCGCAGCGTGTCGCGCGTCGAGGGATTACTTCGCCGTTCCTCTTGACATTTCCACGTTGAACGGCCGTGCCAACATCTCCATCGTCATGATATGCGGGAGGCGAAAATTCAGCTTTAACAAGTACGGGATGTTTGAATATTTGTTTTGGTATAATTACCATTTGTGCTTGATAATTTTTAAATGTTTGTTTATATTTGCAGGTTCGTGAAACTACCGAAAAAGCGCGATGTCTACGAGAGTTTCATGCTTAAAGGTAGGGAGTGTAGTTTGTTGAAAGGTCAGCCTTGTCTTCGGGCTGTGATGAGTTCAGTTACGTACATATTGTATGCCGTTGGCATACACCCTATGTGGACGTTATTTTTATTTAAATTTATTTAATTGCAATATGTTTCATCCGATGAAAAAATGTATCAGGTTTGGACGTTATTTTCTCAAACAGTCTTGACGCTAATAAGTAATAAGTGCCTCATTTTTTATCAAATTTTTTTTTTGTTAAATATGACGATTCCCTTGTCCACTTCAGTCAATGCAACACTGAAATATATCAAATATAGCCTTGTAATTCTCAATCCATATTCACAGTCCAGACTCACCAGTTTATGCATGCACCATTAAGTGCAGCTATGTGCACATTCTACACAGCTAATTGGGTCACCACCACCGTGAGTGTTCGTTGTCAAAGGACAATAAAACATATGTTATGCATTTGGGTCATCAATCGATCCTCCTGCTGTATGCACATCGCTTTTATGAAGTCGATGTAACATACTCTATACCAGGTGCATTCGCCAGTTTAAATGAGGTGAGTAGCAGTCTGGTTCCCGAGGTCTGCTGCGCTAACACTTGGACACAGTCGAAGCGTTAGCGCAGCGGACCCCGGGAACCAGGCTGAGGTGTGCAACAGTTGGTTGGTATGCACGCCGTGTTCGCCATTGACAGCGACGTTCTGAATGTGACGAACGGATCCGGTTAAGTATTTAATGACTAACTGGAAATGCTGTCAATAAATATGCATTTATGTTTATATCGACGTGTAGTGTAACTCAGAATGGTTGGCCTCGAGATATTTGATAAAATACTGGCTGAATTATAGGTGTTACAATGTAATTGGTTGTTACATATATACATGTTTTGTAATGTGAGATAATTAGGTGTTGTATACATACATGTCACGTGATATAAGCTAACTGGTTGTATATATACATCTCGTGTGATATACGCTGTTTGTGTGCAGGGATCGTGCCGGAGATGTCATACTTCACCGCCATTGCACTGGTGTACAGTGCTGCCAAGATGGCGTTAGGTAGGTATTGGCAGAATGATCTTGGCATATCTCAGATAAAGGTATATATATAAATGTTCCTCCAGTATGGTGGATACTGCAGATGTGTAACATGTGCAAGGATTGACCAATATGGCACCAGGTAGGAACTTTCAAGGATTCGCAACAAACAAACTGCGAAGATATAGGTACATGTAGGTATACCGAAGGGGTAGCATGTGCAAGGATTGACCAATATGGCACAAGGCCCTTATTCTCGAAACGTAGCCCTAAGAATTCTTAACTTTGATCGTAGCCAATGTGTTAAGAATGGGCTTAAGACTGACTGACTGACTGAGTTTGGTTTTACGCCGCTTTTAGCAATATTCCAGCAACATCAAGGCGGGGAACACCAGAAATGGGCTTCACACATTGTATCCATGTGGGGATTCGAACCCGGGGTCTTCGGCGTGACGAGCCAACGATTTAACCACTAGACTACCCCACCGCCCCAATGGGCTTAAGAAGTTCGTAGGGCTACGGACGTTTCGAGAATAGTTAACCAGGAGGGTACTTTCAAGGATTAAAAAAAACCCCGAGGATATGTACATTCAAATATTCGTGAATAATTTAAAGGTAGGAATTATGGTTATGTAGGTATTTTTGGTAGTTATCTAGGCATTATGATAAAGAGTTTACCAATATGGTGTACATTTTCATCAGTGAACAATATGGTGGATGTAGGTTTATTGATTTCTTCTCCAATAAGACATGAGGTAGGTGTGGGTGTGTGTATGTGTGTGTGTGTGTGTGTGTGTGTGAGAGAGAGAGAGAGACGGTTTCAAAGCAAAATGGTTTGTTTTTTGTTTTTGTTTATTTAAACTTTTATTTAATGTAAATACAGGTATTAATCACACAATACATTTACATGAACGGAGAATGACAAGAAGACCAGAGTTTGTGAAACATATCGACTCTATTTGACATTTCAGCTGCACATTTAGTAACATTATAATACTCCCGGACTTTGCATATTAATGTTTGGAAGGTTGTCAATCGTTTCTGTTTATGGTCAAATATAGTCTTTTTGAAACTCAAGATGATTATGTTTAGTGGGTCATTGTTTCTCTCTGGAAAACCAATGAGTATATGTTTCATAGCAAAATGGTTTCTCCAGTGGGACGATTGTACACTTCTGGGTTTCTCCAGATGGACGTATAAATAAATATACATTGAAGGGTCCTCCAGTTGGACGTTTATATGTACATTGTATGGTTCTCCAAATGGACGTATGCATGTTTATTGAAGGGTTCTCTAGGTGTAAATATACATATATGTTGAAGGCTTCTCCATTTGGACATATGTATGTGTTTTGAGGGGAAGGGTTCTCTATTTGGACATATGTATGTGTTTTGAGGGGAAGGGTTCTCCATTTGGACATATGTATGTGTTTTGAGGGGAAAGGTTCTCCATTTGGACATATGTTTGTGTTTTGAGGGGAAGGGTTCTCCATTTGGACATATGTATGTGTTTTGAGGGGAAGGGTTCTCCATTTGGACATATGTTTGTGTTTTGAGGGGAAGGGTTCTCCATTTGGACATATGTATGTGTTTTGAGGGGAAGGGTTCTCTATTTGGACATATGTATGTGTTTTGAAGGGTTCTCCATTTGGACATATGTATGTGTTTTGAAGGGAAGGGTTCTCCATTTGGACATATGTATGTGTTTTGAAGGGAAGGGTTCTCCATTTGGACATATGTATGTGTTTTGAGGGAAGGGTTCTCTATTTGGACATATGTATGTGTTTTGAGGGGAATGGTTCTCTATTTGGACATATGTATGTGTTTTGAAGGGTTCTCCATTTGGACATATGTATGTGTTTTGAGGGATTCTTCTCTATTTGGACATATGTATGTGTTTTGAGGGGAAGGGTTCTCTATTTGGACATATGTATGTGTTTTGAAGGGAAGGGTTCTCTATTTGGACATATGTATGTGTTTTGAAGGGAAGGGTTCTCCATTTGGACATATGTATGTGTTTTCAGGGGAAGGGTTCTCCATTTGGACATATGTATGTGTTTTGAAGGGTTCTCCATTTGGACATATGCATGTGTTTTGAGGGGAAGGGTTCTCCAGTAGTACATGCACATATATGTTGAATGGTTCTCAGTTTGTACACATGTATCTATACATTTTCCATTAGGACGTGTATATGTACATTGAAGAGTTCAACGGGGTGTCAGAATATAGGTGATATGCACCAACTATTCAGTGTTATTCATGCTGCCTCTTTTGAATTGGTTATTATTTAACCTGATCCGATCGTGTTAGTTTCATTCGATCCGGGCATTGACGTCGTTGTCCATTGATATTCTGCTGATATTTTGTGTGGCTGTTTTCAGCCATGCAATTCAATACGACCGACTTGTTTGCTGATTAATATTTTAAATATGCTATTCTCTAACTGTTCTTCTCCAATTAACCAGAGACCAGATACCGGTTGGTTGATATGGCCACCTGATATGTAGTACCAAGTTTTTGGAAGATATCTTGATCTGAATTCAGAAATGGCTGCCAGTGCCATAGTGGAAAATAGAAAACATTGTGAGTCACCCGTTGACAACATGTCTTCAGAAACCATTGGAACTATAACTGAAACTTCCCTTTCACCACCAATACTTGGACCATGGTGATTCCGATGTTCAATATGTCTGCCCCGGAGGCCATTTTGAAAATGAGGATATAATCGCCATGACACAGTTATTTTGATTATTCCGTTTTTGCGACTTGCATCAAATAGTTGAATGGCATCCCTGACAGCAACGTTTGTTATGTCTGTCTGCTTTCTTGAACCTGAAGAAAACACAGTTCCAGGTGAACTTCCACTATGTTTCGAAGCAAGACAAAACTTTTCATGAATAGTCTTCATTTCCACAGGTGCAGTTTACTACAATGACTGCTCCCTTGAGCCCCGCCTTTTCGTGTATCTATTGGTCAGTTCATCTCTCTTACTGCTGTATCTACCAATCATCGCTAACCTGGGACAGAAGGTCCTCGGTTTGAAAGTGTACGTCCGCCTCATCACGTTCCTACAGCTGGTGGGACTTTGTTTCGGTGAGTAGAGACCACTAACTAACCATGACGACAGCATACACCCATTCGATGACGTACGTGATACACAACATTAACGATTAAATATCTTGCGGATATAAAACGGAGATAAAACGGGAAATGAGTGAGTTGGGTTTTACGCAGCTTTTAGCAATATCCCAGCAATATCACTGCGGGGGACACCAGAAAAGGGCTCCACACATTGTACCCATGTGGGGGATCGAACCCGGGCCTTCAGCCTGACGAGCAAACGCTTTAACCACTAGGCTACCCCACCGCCCACTAAAGCGTGAAAACTGACGTGTTTACCGTGCAGGGGGCGGTGGGGTAGCCTAGTGGTTAAAGCGTTGGCTCGTCAGGCCGAAGACCCGGGTTCGAATCCCCACATGTGTACAATGTGTGAAGCCCATTTCTGGTGTCCCCCGCCGTGATGTTGCTGGAATATTGCTAAAAGCGGCGTAAAACCAAACTCAGTCAGTCAGTCAGTCAGTTTACTGTGCATGTCCGCGTCGACAAAAGGTGTGCAGGTACTTTTTAAGTTTATACTTCATGAGCTCAAAAACATATGCAAGTCAATTCTAATGAATACAACTTCACAGGCTGTTTAATCGTTAACACAAAACTCTGTAAACAGAAGTGCGTCATCCAGCGAAATAATGCAACACAATCCACGCCCATTATATAACAGTAACCCGTTAGGTGGGTGTGTTTTAATGTCTTTTAAGGAAGCAATGCATTTTAGTTACTAGTCAAAAACTACGGAATCACTTTATTGTTACATAAACGCTTATGTAGAACACGGTACAGGATTCCTGTTGGCTATGAGTTGTGCACTATTAAAGATGATGCCTTTGTTTTATCATCACTTTTTGGGGCATAATAATAATAAGGCATTATAAAAATAATAACATATACAGCGCTAACAACATAATGCACATTATTATCCCGGATAACCCAAGCTGCTTGTGAGGCGCTAGAAGGTTAATAGTCATATGACCATCTTATCCCACCGGGTACCCATTTTCTGCTGGGTGAACAGAGGCAATTTTGAACAAACCCACTTGTCTAATGTGAGACCAAATGTGTCACGTGTGCTTCGTTGTGGGGCAGGACTAAAGTCCTAAAAAACATCAGGAGTTAAGCTGCCAAACACGTTCACCCATCCAACTTGCTAAACTTATACGGATTTGTCATCCCGGCTCTATGCACGAGACCACACACCACCATTATTCATTATCATATAGCCACTTACTATCCAATACAAGTCTCTCGGGTGGGGCACATGATCCCCATGGTGCATTGTCTGTTGCAAGAACAATATAATTGGGATGGATGGATTACAATAGGTTACCTGATAGGCGACGGGTGTGTTCGTAGACGCTGCTTTGCCTCAAGCTACCTTTTGGAAAAAATTCGATTACCCACAGATCGTGTTAACATTCCCGACTGAAACTGATTAAAGGCGACAAAACTGTTTCCACACCCATAAGAAGTCTCCCCTAATAAGCACAACTGTACAATTCCGACTTTTTTGTAAGCTTGTGTTGTTTGTCGCCACAGCTAGTGAGTGAGTTTAGTCTTACGCCGTACTCAGCAATATTCCAGCTATATGCCCATGGTCAGTAATAATCGAGTCTGGACCAACCAGACAATTCAGTGATCAACAGCATCAATCTACGCAATTGGGATACGATGACATAGGGTTAACCAAGTCAGCGAGCCTGACCACCCGATCCCGTTAGTCTCCTGTTACGACAAGCATGGGTTACTTAAGATCAATTCTAACCCGGATCTTTACGGGTCCGGCGTTCTGTAAATAATCAAGACCAGGAGCTGACATGAGATACAATGAGAAAGTAAGTGTTTATGAATCTCTATCAGATTGTGATAATACCAGGTGTAACACCATGAATTCAGTTTTTGATGATATCCACCCTCACCTCATTTATGCTTTCACCCACACAGGTAGTTATCTCCTCTATAACGTCCATGTTGGTCGCCAGGGCAACCTGCAGCAGGACGCAGCGCCCAAGGTCACGCCCAAGGTCACGTGCAATGACGTCATATTCAAGTTCACAGCAGCAACAATAGGCGTGGAGTGGACATATATTTTCGTTTCATTTTTAGCTCGTGGATTTGTGACAGTGTTATTTCATCTAGTTGTTGTTTTACTGAAAAATGTTTTCAAAATGTTGTTCTCAATGGTGAGCCACGATAAAAAGGAGAAAAAATCATGATCGCAATAACGTAACACATTTTCTATTTTATTCAACATTTTTACCAAACAATTTATTTTTACGTTTATTTAGGAACACCATTTTAAACAGTTTGTCACAATGACTTTCCGAAATGCATAATTTTGTTGTTGTGACTGACCATTTAATGGTGCTAGGCTTTCCAGTGGAATAAAAGCGTATTTGCTGTTTCGTGACGGCGTTTGTTTTCAAGAAGGTTCCAGGTATTATCCTTACCCAAATATATAAGTATAAGTTAATATTTATACATTATTATATATAAAGTCACATCGACAGTATTTCAGCCATATTGTGACTAAAACAGGTTATACACAAATAATACCTTTAAAACTAAAGACCTGTCAACAAAGGACTTGCCCAAATGAGATAGGTTAGTTTGAAAAGAAGGAATCTTCTAGCGATTGAGTTAATTTAACATGTGCTCGTGGGTCCCAGGTTATGACTGCTCCCCCAGCAACCTGTGCAGGTTGTAAGAGGCGACAGTGGATTGGGTGGTCAGATTCAGAGACGTGGCTGACTGCGTGTCGTCGTACCGGACGACGACGGATTAATGCCCTTGTATAGGGGATCGAACTACCGACCTCGGCTCCTTGGGCAGACGCTCTATCCACTAGGCCACGGAGCATGTCTACAAGGGATCGAACTACCGACCTCGGCTCCCTGGGCAGATGCTCCATCCACTAGGCCACGAAGGCGGTCTACAAGGGATCGAACTACCGACATCGGCTCCCTGGGCAGACGCTCCATCCACTAGGCCACGGAGGCGGTCTACAAGGGATCGAACTACCGACCTCGGCTCCCTGGCAGACGCTCCATCCACTAGGCCACTGGAGGCGGTCTACAAGGGATCGAACTACCGACCTCGGCTCTCTGGCAGACGCTCCATCCACTAGGCCACTGGAGGCGGTCTACAAGGGATCGAACTACCGACCTCGGCTCTCTGGCAGACGCTCCATCCACTAGGCCACTGGAGGCGGTCTACAAGGGATCGAACTACCGACCTCGGCTCACTGGCAGACGCTCCATCTACTAAGACACGGAGGCAGTCTACAAGGGATCGAACTACCGACATCGGCTCCCTGGGCAGACGCTCCATCCACTAGGCCACGGAGGCGGTCTACAAGGGATCGAACTACCGACATCGGCTCTCTGGGCAGACGCTCCATCCACTAGGCCACTGTAGGCGGTCTACAAGGGATCGAACTACCGACATCGGCTCCCTGGGCAGACGCTCTATCCACTAGGCCACTGGAGGCGGTCTACAAGGGATCGAACTACCGACATCGGCTCCCTGGGCAGACGCTCTATCCACTAGGCCACGGAGGCGGTCTACCAGGGGATCGAACTACCGACATCGGCTCCCTGGGCAGACGCTCCATCCACTAGGCCACTGAGGAGGCGGTCTACCAGGGATCGAACTACCGACATCGGCTCCCTGGGCAGACGCTCCATCCACTAGGCCACGGAGGCGGTCTACAAGGGATCGAACTACCGACCTCGGCTCCCTGGGCAGACGCTCTGTCCACTAGGCCACTGGAGGCGGTCTGCCAGGGGATCGAACTACCGACCTCGGCTCCCTGGGCAGACGCTCTATCCACTAGGCCACACTGTAGGCGGTCTGCAAGGGATCGAACTACCGACATCGGCTCCCTGGCAGACGCTCTGTCCACTAGGCCACTCAGGAGGCGGTCTACAAGGGATCGAACTACCGACATCGGCTCCCTGGGCAGACGCTCTGTCCACTAGGCCACTCAGGAGGCGGTCTACCAGGGATCGAACTACCGACATCGGCTCACTGGGCAGACGCTCTATGCACTAGGCCACTCAGGAGGCGGTCTACCAGGGGATCAAACTACCGACCTCGGCTCTCAGATCAGACGCTCTATGGTCTATATCCACGGAGGCGGTCCGCTAGGTCATCGAACTACCGACTTCGGCAGATGCTACACCTACGCCATTGAATACGAAATGAATTAAATATGACGAATCATCGCCAACGTTCAGTCTCATACAGTTTATAAATGTGGACAATCGTACTCCTATACAATGACAACGGCTTACCAGTTGCCCAGCTTTCAGTCCTGTTCTCAATAAACAGTTTTCCATGTCATGGTGACAGTCATGGTAGAGCGTAATGGAAACTTGATGACTCCATGGGTTATTGTGTGCAGACTACTTCTCACCTGCAACAGGATTTCCCAAGTTACCTTTATTGTCGTGCTTGTGAGGCTGGTTAGACGTACAGCAAGGGTAGGGCAGTATTTCAGTATACCACGCCTTGTTGCTGGATAGAAAGCCAGAGTGACACACTGCATTGACGTTTACTACTTTGAAGATCCCACGATGATATGTGAGAAGCAGACTGTTGGGATGCGAAAAGCAGACTGTTGGGATGAATGTGGGATGTGAGAAGCAGACTGTTGGGATTCGAGAAGCAGACTAATGGGATGAATGTGGGATGTGAGAAGCAGACTGATGGGATGCGAGAAGCAGACTGATGGGATGTGAGAAGCAGGCTGTTGAGATGAAAGTGGGATACGAGAAGCAGACTGATGGGATGTGAGAAGCATACTGTTGAAATGAAAGTGGGATGCGAGAAGCAGACTGATGGGATGTGAGAAGCAGACTGTTGAGATGAAAGTGGGATGCGAGAAGCAGACTGTTGGGATGCGAGAAGCAGACTGTTGGGATGAAAGTAGGATGCAAGAAGCAGACTGTTGGGATGCAAGAAGCAGACTAATGGGATGAAAGTGGGATGCGAGAAGCAGACTGTGGGGATGTGAGAAGCAGACTGTTGAGATGAAAGTGGGATGCGAGAAGCAGACTGATGGGATGTGAGAAGCAGACTGTTGAAATGAAAGTGGGATGCGAGAAGCAGACTGTTGGGATGTGAGAAGCAGACTGTTGAGATGAAAGTGGGATGCGAGAAGCAGACTGATGGGATGTGAGAAGCAGACTGTTGAGATGAAAGTGGGATGCGAGAAGCAGACTGTTGGGATGCGAGAAGTAGACTGTTGGGATGCGAGAAGCAGACTGTTGGGATGAAAGTAGGATGCAAGAAGCAGACTGTTGGGATGCGAGAAGCAGACTAATGGGATGAAAGTGGGATGCGAGAAGCAGACTGTTGGGATGCTAGAAGCAGACTGTTGACTGACTGACTGAGTTTGGTTTTACGCCGCTTTTAGCAATATTCCAGCAACATCACGGCGGGGGACACCAGAAATGGGTTTCACACATTGTGCCCATGTGGGGTTTCGAACCCGGGTCTTCGGCGTGACGAGCCAACGCTTTAACCATTAGGCTACCCCACCGCCCCTCAGACTGTTGAGATGAAAGTGGAATGCAAGAAGCATACTGTTGGGATGCGAGAAGCAGACTGTTGAGAAGAAAGTGGGATGCGAGAAGTAGACTGTTGGGATGCGAGAAGCAGACTGTTGGGATGCGAGAAGCAGACTGGTTTGATGTGAGAAGGGAATCCTGGTTACTGAAACACAAAACTTTCGAACCTTTTTCCGGATTTGTGGTCACTTTGGTCACTGAGCCATCAACTCCCCCATCCCTACCAACACCTACACACGCACGAACGCACGCACACACACACACACACACACACACACGGGATCTGGTGGTCAGACAGGGTTGTGATGCTTGTCCTATTCAGTGTGTGTAGATCTATACTCATGATGCCGATCACTGGATTATGTCATCCAGATTCAGTTATCAACTTTAGCGTTAGACAATAAACAAACCTTATCTTGGTTCGTCTGTATGATATACAAACATGTATTCATGATGTGAGTGTGCACAAATATACGCATTAGTTACATACATGTACATATATCTGTATGTATGAATCCAATATGTCTGTATGTAAGCACTTGCAAGATATATGTATGTAACCAATAAACTGTACAAAAAGAGTAAGGGATATATGTAAATTTTGAAATTATGAATAATGATCTATTTATTCATTGACACACTGATAAAATATCAATCATAAAATCACCAATATCCCTAACTTATTTTGTCCAGTATATTTATATACGTAATTAATATGTATGTAATCAACATGCCAGCATGTAATCAATGTCTATTTTTGCCATTAATTCTATATGTAACAAGTATGTAGCCAGTATGTTTGATACCAATGTCTGTATGTAACCAATATGTGTAAATATAATAAATATACTGGACAAAATAAGTTAGGGATATTGTCCAGTATATGTCTGATTGTATCAAATATGAATCTGTGTAGCCAGTGTGTGTGGAAGCAATATGTCATGTAGCTCTTGTATCAGCGGCGTCAAACAACAGTCACTCGCAAATCCGCTCACGCCTGAAGTCCAACGGTCTGAGGGCAACTGAGGCACTTAAGATGCTTGGTAAAATTATACCCAATAACAAAAATAAGAGGCTGGGCTCTCACGGTTTGCCTGTTGGCTATGGCTACACCCATGAAAGGTGTGTCATTATTATCAGTTTCACAAAGCTCACATTCACAGGTGGAAATGTTTAAACATCCATGACGCTCAATATAGATTTCAGTGACGTTGGCTGCTGTAAACAAACGGGTCACAGGTCACAGGTCAAGGATGATTGATTTCTCCCACACACGTCATGTTTGTAGTGCGGGGTTAATTATAGTGTTTATACTACTGTTTCTATGGAGGAAAGGTACAGTGATACAAGTCACCGCGACTCATGGTACAAGGAGTTGCATCCCTCACCCTTCCCCGTATGTGATGCTCCTGGTTTCAAATACCAGATATGTCCTAAGTTCGAACCCAAGTCTCTCAGTACTTTATAAGTGCTCCTGGACGCTTCCCTCAGCATAATGCTGTCACGCTATGTTTTAATTAACTGAAGTAACATTCAAAGTGATAACTCACTCATTTAACTTTATTTAATCTAACACCTTAATTTCGGAATCTGACGGGGCGGTGGGGTAGCCTAGTGGTTCGATCTTCACGCCGAAGACCCGGGTTCGATTCCACACATGGGTACAATGTGTGAAGTCCATTTCTGGTGTCCCACGCCATGATATTGCTGGAATATTGCTAAAAGCGGCGTAAAATCATACTCGCTCACTTATTCATTTTCTATAGCGCTAACAGGAACATTTCTTATGTTCTACGCTCGAACTGCCGAACTATCGACATTACATTTGCAACATACCAAATGCTTTCTTCCTATTTCGAATTAAAGGTATAGGACGACATTCTCCGGAAATGTACTATTTTTCCCAAATGACATATATCAGGGGGAATAACTCTTGTTTGGTTTTCTGTAGGCTGCTGCTTCAATTTAAGATATTACAAAGTGGATAAATGCCTAACTGTGGCATTCTCACATATTCAGATGAAAGGCATGTATGCGATACAATCAGGATGTAGTGAAAAGTTACAGAAGTACAGAATAAGATGCTTTGTTTGACAAATGGTTTCGGTTTGTGCTTAATCTTTTCAAGTGGACGTGAAGCGGATAGTATATGTGCTGTATTTGTGACATATGCCGTGAACGGTACATGTGCTACAACTACGACACATACTGTGGATGTTATGTGTCAATAATTTACGACAAATGCTATTGACGTTGTACGAGGCGATGACAACTGACACTCACCGTGACGTCGGTTACCAAGGGTACGTTCGATTACGAGGGGGCAGACTCGAATGGCGCCGTGACGCTAATGCATTGTGACGTCATGCAACAAGTGTACATTATCGTCTGATAAAGTACTGTCGGCTCCTTTGATCTTTCACCGAAGCTTCTTAAAAATGTCAGTAATGCAATATCTACGACATAGGTATTGAAAATCACATATAGTTTGTTTTCGACAATGGTATGACATTGTATGCTTTACTGGCTTACTGGCGATTAAAGCTATGAATGTAATGAGTGGTAAATTTGCGAGACATTCTGTGAATGCACCTCCCACCCTAAACTTGGTAATGTACAAAGACTTGTGATATTGCTGGAATATTGCTACAAGCGGCGCAAAACCATACTCACTCACTCACTCGCTCTTAACCAATCAGATGCTGTCGGAGTCTCATCATGCTATGTGTAACCTTACCAGGTCGGCGTTTACGCACGCCCACCGCTGAGTAGAAAGCATCCAATTTTCAACCCAGTCAACCATGAAGCCTCACAATGACAAGCCGAACCTGACTCACAATCTCAGCTATTTGAGAGATGAAGTAGTTAGAAGCTGATGGGTCTACCCGTCTTGTCTTCAATCAACTCCCAGGGTACTGGGTGTGGCCTGAGAGACGATTGCATCCATTTGTACCTAACGACATTATTTTCAACTCCGGGATCAATCTTCCTCTCCTTAAACATCGGGGGACATTGACAAAACTGAATACCATGGACCACGGTCCGCTCATTCGGCGATGGGGGTAGGTTAAAAATAGAACATATTTTCATAAATATTTTTATCAAGATTAAATGACTTCAAATGTCTTTGATGGTCCGCTGTGTTTATGAACACATAGACTTGCAGCAGCTTCAGGATTGAACGTCTCGCTGTGGGTACGGCACAGCATAAACAGGTAGGTAGTGTGGCTTTTGTGGCTAGGTAGCTATAGGGTGGTTTTATATTTCGCTGAAAACTCATGGTAAGCTACGCCATTTTCGTATTGTTTAAATGGAAGTATTGTTTAAAAGCTTTTCCTAATTCGTACACGGAGACTGAAAACGATGTAGCCATTCCATCAGTAACACAGTGACACTATCAGTAACAGTAATAGTACAGTAACAAGTAATGGATGTATCATCTTGTTACCATCACGTCACCCGTTGATGTTCCCATGCATATGTACACCCATGTGGATGAGCCGTGTGAAGATCCGGGTTAGGGTTGGTCTTCAGTAACCCATGCTTGTCGTAAGTGGCGACTGACGGGATCGGGTGGTCAGGCTCGCTGACTTGGTTGACGCATGTCATTGTATCCCAATTGCGTAGATCGATGCTCAGGCTATTGCTCACTGGATTGTCCGGTCCAGACTCGATTATTTACAGATCGCGGGCATATAGCTGGAGTGCGGCGTTAAACAACCAACCAACCAATCTAACCATGCGAATGGTGGACAAAATTAAAAATTAAACAAACAAAAATGATTATTCAATAGTGGTCTATTGTATACGGGTATCATAGTCATGTGTCGGGCCTTATGTTTGCCGTGGTTCGCCGACTAGGTTTATACTGGTAACATTTTGAAATTGTAAGCTTTTTAAAAACAATATCATTTTCAGATGTATTTTTCCTTGTGGCTGGTACTTTAATTTATTACTATATCGCGCTATGATATTTAATGATACATAATCAAGTTGACATATCAAACATCATCAAGTTATAATTATTATTATATCATTATTACAATAGCTCACAATAGAAATGACATCATATCATCATAGTATGCCAACATATCATCCCAATAACACCTCATCAATAGTTATATCATTATCATCCCAATAACACCTCATTAATAGTTATATCATTATCATCCAATAACACCTCATCAATAGTTATATCATTATCATCCCAATAACACCTCATTAATAGTTATATCATTATCATCCCAATAACACCTCATCAATAGCTATATCATTATCATCCAATAACACCATCAATAGTTATATCATTATCATCCCAATAACACCTCATCAATAGTTATATCATTATCATCCAATAACACCTCATCAATAGTTATATCATTATCATCCAATAACACCTCATCAATAGTTATATCATTATCATCCAATAACACCTCATCAATAGTTACATTGTTATCATCCAATAACACCTCATCAATAGTTATATCGTTATCATCCCAATAACACCTCATCAAACTGACTCGGGCCATGTGATTGGTGGAAAATAAAATATACTGTAAGATTTGTCCATTTCGAAATATGAACTTTGCAATATTCCTTCTATTTTGAATGATGTACGGAACAGTAAATTGGTAAGAATAATTTTAGAGGTTATAAAAATGCATTTGATATTGATTCATTTTTAGGAAATTATATTTATAAATATTTAACCTCTAATATTATTCTTACCAATTTACTCCCCAAGTCACTTGAATGTCAAGGTCATTAATGGCCGACAAATGATTATTATTGCCGATGATTTTGGAGAAAATGCCAGCTTACTGTCGAGGAAATGATATGTAGATGTTGCAAAAGGTTTGTAGACCCGTGAAATACCGCTGACGATCTACGTGCCTGGAATTTAAAAACGAATTTAAAAGGTGAGTTTTCGCTGTCTTGGCTGATCCATGATTTTGGCGTGGAAATGCGGAGGTAGATGTTTTCATTGAGTCGTGGCATATAATTTTTAAAATATTGATCCGATTGTGACCATTTATAGCTCGTTTTGTAGGGACATCATCTATCATCCGTAGGCCACGGCGTGATATCACCTGTAACACCATGTCATAACACCATATTACTATACCATTCAACCGTATCAATATATCACCTGTAACACCATGTCATCACACCATATTACTATACGATTCAACCGTATCAAGATATCACCTGTAACACCATGTCATAACACCATATTACTATACCATTCAACCGTATCAATATATCACCTGTAACACCATGCCATCACACCATATTACTATACCATTCAACCGTATCAATATATCACCTGTAACACCATGTCATCACACCATATTCCTATACCATTCAAACGTATCAAGATATCACCTGTAACACCATGTCATCACACCGTATTAATACCACCATATTAATATACCATTCACACCGTCATCAATATTACTATACCATTCAACACCAATGTATTTACTATACCATTCAAAATCAATATATCACCTGTAACACCATGCCATACCATGTCACCCATATTACTATACCATTCAACCGTATCAATATATCACCTGTAACACCATGTCATCACACCATATTACTATACCATTCAACCGTATCAATATATCACCTGTAACACCATGTCATAACACCATATTACTATACCATTCAACCGTATCAATATATCACCTGTAACAACATGTCATAACACCATATTACTATACCATTCAACCGTATCAATATATCACCTGTAACACCATGTCATAACACCATATTACTATACCATTCAACCGTATCAATATATCACCTGTAACACCATGTCATAACACCATATTACTATACCATTCAACCGTATCAATATATCACCTGTAACACCATGTCATAACACCATATTACTATACCATTCAACCGTATCAATATATCACCTGTAACACCATGTCATAACACCATATTACTATACCATTCAACTGTATCAAGATATCACATGTAACACCATGTCATAACACCATATTTCTATACCATACAACCGTATCAATATATCACCTGTAACCATGTCATAACACCATATTACTATACCATTCAACCGTATCAATATATCACCTGTAACACCATGTCATAACACCATATTACTATACCATTCAACCGTATCAAGATATCACCTGTAACACCATGTCATAACACCATATTACTATACCATTCAACCGTATCAATATATCACCTGTAACACCATGTCATAACACCATATTACTATACCATTCAACCGTATCAATATATCACCTGTAACACCATGTCATAACACCATATTACTATACCATTCAACCGTATCAAGATATCACCTGTAACACCATGTCATAACACCATATTACTATACCATTCAACTGTATCAATATATCACCTGTAACACCATGTCATAACACCATATTACTATACCATTTCAACCGTATCAAGATATCACCTGTAACACCATGTCATCATTACTATACCATTCAACCGTATCAATATATCACCTGTAACACCATGTCATACACCATATTACTATACCATTCAACCGTATCAAGATATCACCTGTAACACCATGTCATAACACCATATTACTATACCATTCAACCGTATCAAGATATCACCTGTAACACCATGTCATCACACCATATTACTATACCATTCAACCGTATCAATATATCACCTGTAACACCATGTCATAACACCATATTACTATACCATTCAACCGTATCAAGATATCACCTGTAACACCATGTCATAACACCATATTACTATACCATTCAACCGTATCAAGATATCACCTGTAACACCATGTCATAACACCATATTACTATACCATTGAACCGTATCAAGATATCACCTGTAACACCATATTACTATACCATTCAACCGTAAAAGGATAACACACTTCACACCATACCATAACACCATATCACCATATCACTATACCATTCAACTGTATCAAGATATCACCTGTAACACCATATCACTATATCATTCAACCGTATAGGGATAACACACTTAATACCATGTCATAACACCATATCACTACACCAGACCGCTGTATTAAGTTATCGATTGTCACACCATGTCATAACACCATATCACTAAACAAGACCACAGTATTAAGATACCACCCGTAGGACAATGTCGTAACACTATATTTCCACATCCGGCCACCATATCAAAATATCACGCCTAACCCCATGCCATAGCCCTACCACCAGTCCGTCACCAGCATGTTTATACTAATGGTTTAGCTGAAGTTATAACAAGAACTGGCTGTTCGGTCGTGAGGCATTTGACATGGGTATTACAGATGCAATAACCTTGAGTGTGCAGTGTTTTGGGACTGTTTTCAATTTATTTCGTAAATATATGGGTCAAATCCATTTTTCAAATGCATACAGTTTACATCCAATGACAACAATGGTAACCATCGTTGCGTGTGGGTATCTCCACGTTTGGATTGTAGCTGACCTACTACTGATTCTCCTGTCCTGTTTCATCAATAGTCTATAAAAGGGACTAGTGCGGAAGGGATTGGCCGTGCATGTCACCAGTCAGCCAAGCCGTTCAGGCGAGAAGTACTGAGTACATAGTCATTGGGACAAAAGGCATCGCATTAACAGCGGAACTAATACACGGCCATATTGGAAATAGTCCAATGAGAATCGAAAGGACAGTAATGTTGAAGACGAGGTGTTTATTGACAACCTGCGTTCGTTTACTCAAATAAAATTGCATAAACATTTTGGGTAGCGATTGTCCTCATTATTATAGTAAAAATAACTGTGTGGCAATTGCCCCGTGGTGGAAATTGTTCTGGGTCGCAATTTTTCGGTGGCAATTACCCGGGTATCAGTTGTCCGGGTGGCAATTGTACGGTGCTAAGTGCCCTGGGTGGCAGTTGTCCAGGTGGCAATAATACGGTGCGAAGTGTCCGGTCGGTAATTGTCCTAGGTGGCAATTGTCAGGTGGCAATTGTCCGGGTGGCAGTTGTCCTGCTCCCTTGTGGTTTATGAGCTCTAAACATGAATTGTCGACATACATATCATTTTAAATTACAATTTAATTACATTTTTAGAAGAGTTTATATATTTCATGTCCAGTATAGAATGCAGATGTATGAACAAAACCTGTTTCACAACAAGGTAGACACCTGTTATGTTGGTGACGTCGTACAGTTTGCATATCATTATGTCACATTAAGAATAATATCTCATAACTCCATAAGGAGTTATGGAAACGTATCATTGTTATTGTAGGATATTTACATAGCGCACAAATCCACGCAACTAGTGCATCCTCAAGGCGCTGGTATTTTTCCTCTCGATCATAGGATGTCAATCTCAACGGCCCATCGTATTATCAATCTCAACTCCCTGGGGAGTATGCAACTCTTGATGCCACTAGGCGCACCGAGTTATTGTGGCCTTCTCATCCTAACGAGGTACCCATTCACAGCTGGGTGGACTGGGGCACATAGTCACAGTACTTTGTCCAGGTTTACTGCACGTTGCTGTACCCGCAACTAGGTGTTTGCACGTATTCATGTGTCCTCCATCTGGTCATATACCAACGAATTCGTATTGGTGCCATCGTCTGAAAAAGTACTTTCATCTAATTAGTTCATACTTTACTTCTACATGATAGTATACTTCCACTTACTTGGTACTTTACTTAATACATGGTACTTCACTTCTACGTACATAATACTTTACTTCAACGTACATGGTACTTTACTTCTACATACATGGTACTTTACTTCTACGTACATGGTACTTTACTTCTACGTACATAATAGTTTACTTCAACGTACATGGTACTTTACTACAACATACATGGTATTTCACTTCTACATACATGGTACTTTACTTCTACGTACATAATACTTTACTTCAACGTACATGGTACTTCACTTCTACGTACATAATACTTTACTTCAACGTACATGGTACTTTACTTCTACATACATGGTACTTCACTTCTACGTACATAATACTTTACTTCAACGTACATGGTTCTTTACTTCTACATACATGGTACTTTGCTTCTACGTACATGGTACTTCACTTCTACGTACATAGTACTTTACTTCTACGTACATGGTACTTCACTTGTACGTACATAATACTTTACTTCAACGTACATGGTACTTCACTTCTACATACATGGTACTGATCGGGTTGTCAGGCTCGCTGACTTGGTTGACACATGTCATCGGTTCCCAATTGCGGAGATCGATGCTCATGCTTTTGATCACTGTATTGTCTGGTCCCGACTCGATTATTTACAGACCGCTTACTAACTCTACGTACACGGTACTCTACTTCTACGTACATCATACTTTCCTTCTACGTACATGGTAGTTTACTTCAACGTACATGACACTAGTACTAAACATCTACGCATCTATTTTACATCATCCTACTAAAGGCGTATTATTGCAAAGTAATGCGTTGTAAATACCCGTCTACGCTTGATCTGAGACTCGAATATAACAGCCGCCTCTGTTAACCCATCATGATCAGTTGAGGCAAGTCGGTCATGCGTGGTGTGGGGATGTATGGCTGCAGACACATGCCATTAAACTAAGAGCGCAACAAATACCCGGCTATAAAGTACATAGTACAAGTATGAATCACACGGAGAGATAGGAACACAACAAATACAGATTATAACTCGTCTTTGTGGGGAGTTTTGTTGTGTGTTTTGTGTTGGTATCTATGTAATCCGAAGAAAGTGGCATTTTTTGTGACTTCTTACAGTTGAACCACGTAATTCGTGGCTGCTGGGATCGTAGATCAGGCTTAACATTTTGACAGTATGATTTACCCATTGGAGACTCGTATACAGTAATAGAGCGTGCTGGTCGAGTTCTATTGAAACAACATCGGCTGAGTGTTTGTTAACTTAAAAGTGGGGGCGTGAATCAACAGTCGGGTCACTGGGTAGCGATTTCTGCACCACCTCTTGTATTCCAGTTCCGGTCTCGTTAACATGGTTTCCTAGGCCTTGACCCAATATCTTTTGACAAAGATATTAAATGGCCTTTCGAACTTTCTTACACTTATCTGGAGGGTTGAATGTGTTAGGTTGGGTGGTCAGAATACGGTAAGTAATGATTTTGGTATGATGACTAAAGTGGATGTCATTGACTTGAGCGGGCGGTGGGGTAGCCTAGTGGGTAAAGCGTTCGCTCGTCATGCCGAAGACCCGGGTTCGATTCCCCACATGGGTACAATGTGTGAAGCTCATTTCTGGTGTCCCCCGCCGTGATATTGCTGGAATATTGCTTATAGCGGCGTAAAACCAAACTCACTCACTCACTCATTGACTTGAGCGTTTAACATCTTATGGCCAAACTCACTGACTCACTGACTCACCGACTCACTCACTCATTCAGGATCACTCATTGAATCACTGACTGTCTCACTCACTCACTCACTCACTCACGTGAATTTTTCTCCAAAGTCCAGACCGTGTGTAAACTAAATTTAGGTGTTTTATAAGAATACATTATATGCTAGTTTCAGTAACCGTGTCGTCCTAAATAAGGGTGTGTTGTAATGTAGTTGTGTGTAGTAGTGATGTATGGGGTATGGTAGGGGGCGGTGGGGTAGCCTAATGGTTAAAGCGTTGGCTCGTCACGCCGAAGACCCGGGTTCGAATCCCCACATGGGTACAATGTGTGAAGCCCATTTCTGGTGTGCCCCGCCGTGATGTTGCTGGAATATTGCTAAAAGCGGCGTAAAACCAAACTCAGTCAGTCAGTCAGTATGGGGTATGGTACATAGATATAGTTTATTTCCACCCTTATCATGGAGACCAGTACACAAAATGAACAACAAAATATACAAAGTAATCAGTCAGCCATAAGACTTGGATGTACAAGGATATTGCAGATATATACAATTCTGTATCTAAACTGACGTACAAAAGAAAGTACACACCTGGTGCTTTTGGATTACTTTCCAAGGAGCGACCTAAATGTTTTGAAAAGAGTTTTTACAGTGCTATGTAAGTCACAAACTTTCCTAACATGTTGCCAAAACACCACAGATATCGTGGCCAATTGCGAAGTTGCCAGTCAAAATCACAACACTTTTCAAATAATCCATCAACACCAGGTGTGTACTTTTTTTTGTACGTCAGTATACTTGATACTGATATAATGACAAGCTGGGGTCTGTATAGTCTGTCATACAGACCCTGACACAAATATATTCAAGAAAGCCCGTGCAAGTCTAGAATATGTGGCAAGTCCAGATTTCCACAGTTAGGCTGAAAAGAAGAAAGTCTCAGGGCTCCTTTTCATTATATTGTTTTTTTGTTATGAACTGGGTTTTTTCTGTAAAATGTGTTCATTTCAGAGACTAGTTGTTAGTCTAGGGTCAGGGCATATATCATGGCCTACATTTGTGAACGAATTCAGAAACCTTTTGCACAGTTTTGTACATACGTGTCACATAGGGCACAATGTCTCACCAAGATTTTCATGCTAGCTATTTTCATGCTAACATATGCTAGTTTTACTTGGAATTGGTGGTGAACATTAGGTGTCAGATGACGCCTCGGAGTTCCTATGTTGAAGCCATCAGTGTTTTGGCCGATGGCGATCAGCAGGACATAACAATCATTGGAGAACATAAAGTTGCTCACAAACAAGGAGTGATTTCCTTATAGAATGCATGTTCATTCAATGTTACAGGAACGACTTCAATCTCCCCACCGTCACAGACAGCCGCGGTGTCCGCTACGTCCCCTTCACGAAGATCGCGTATCTTGAGGTCGTGGGTAAGTCCCCTCATCACACGCACGCACACACGCACGCACACCTTGTACTGACTACACGTGTGACTGTATTTGTTCCATCAACAGCATCTCGCCCTTCGATTGTTTTACCCTATTATGTCTTGTGTTACCTCTTGTGTTCTCAGTCCCTGAACATTGCATTGGAGAGGAATTATGTTACGAAACATTGAGAAATGGTTGTGTAAGGGAGATAACTCCTCTATGAAGACACAAAACAGGTGTGGCAGGGAAGTAACGCCTTCATGTTGACAAGAAATAGTTGGTGGGAATAGGTGGGAATCAAACCCACCCTTTCGAGCGAACACTTATGCCTCTGGGCTTCCCCATAATGTATTAAGGTTGGCATAATATGACGTGGTCGTTTGGAGATAAGCGGTCCAATATAACGATTAAAGTACCATGTGATTTACAATAACCTTTTAATGCATTTCTTCAGATGACGACATGGACTCTCAACATCTCCCAAGCTGGGCCCCTCCCGCACCTTCTCTCATACACAGGGAGTGGCTAGAACCGACATTACCGGACCGGGATGTGATCATCCCGCGCCCTTTTATTGATAACATCAGGCCCCCTATGTTCACACAGCGAGAAGATTTTGAAATACCTCGACCGACATTTTCCCCGCCAAAAAATTCCGTCAGACGTGATCGCTTCGTGTTCACTCGGGACTCGCCCGAACGACTTTCTCGACATAAGTCATCACGTGACAGGTCGATACGTCACGTGACGTCACGTGACCTTCCTGACCTACGTCCACCTCCTCAACTTTACCCTCCAGTTCCGGCCCCGAAACCGAAGTTCCGATACAAAAACCTGTCCTTGTATCCGCCTAAACGGGAGAGTGAAAGCGGTATTGTGGCGGCCAAGAGAAAATTAATCAGAGAAGCCATCGCCTCGTCAAATTACAGACCCGTGCGACCGCAGCGGTCCGGCAGCTACGGTGACTGGATTATTCCTCATCCCATATATCTACCGGAAGTGAAGCCTCAGAGACCGGATACACCCCGTTTCCGTAATCACAGCGGTTCCGATGAAGAGAAGGAGAGCCCTCCGATCCCCGAGAGGCATTACGCGGAACCTGACCTTGAACCGGCCACGTCCACGGTCGACGCTTTCACCCCGCTGGAAGGTCAGCTCGCTACCAAGAAGCGGTCTTCAATTATTTCTCAGTGGCAGGAGACGCTCATCTCCAAAGCCCTGCTGAAGGGACAACTACTGCGCAGCATAGAGGAAAACCCGGATTACTAGCACCAGAAGCTGAAATGCATTTTTTTAGCGTAGACATGTTGACCCTGCGTATTTATGACCTTGAACCCTTGAAAAGATACTATTACAATTTTATGTGACTGTGTTCATGTGCTGAACAGACCTGAGCTTTTGTGAAACCGGCATCGTCAACTTCAAATTGAGCTGGCACACAATTATATGTTCAGCTCCATCTATATAGGTGTTTGAAACTGAGTATCTGAGTCTGTATCAATTTGCACATATATATATATATACTCTCCCCACCAAAAAGAAACGCATATAGGAATTTCAACTGTATTTATATGTTTATTTTGAAACATCTTGTAGGCTTTATGAGTCAATGAAATATACCGAAATTGCACACTGGGAATGCAGACTTATCCGTCTTTGGCACCAACTCGAGGAAAGTCAGTTTGAGTGTCACATGGAGTCAATACCTCGTGTGACCACCGTGGGCATCCAGAACTGCACGGCATCGCCTCGGCATCGAACGAATAAGTCTCAGAATCTCGTGTTGCCCAATCGCAGCCCACTCTGCCTGTAGTGCCTGTGCGTGTTGCTGAAGCGTCTGGGGCTGAGGGTTACGGCGTCGCACCCGTCTGTCCAGGGCATCCCCACAGATGTTCGGTCGGGTTTAAGTCCGGTGATCTTGAGGACCAGGGGAGCACATTGATGTTGTGGTTCTGAAGAAAGTCTCTAGTGTGACGTGCTGTGTGGGGCCTGGCATTGTCCTGTTGAAACAACTTCCTCTGGCGATCAATGATTGGAAGGGGGTGTGGGCGTAGGATTTCGTCACAGTACCGTTGAGCTGTCAGGTTGCCCTGGATCATCACCAAATCACTTCACATCATAACACTGCTCCGGCCGAATATGTCCACCTGGGGAACGCAAGCGTCGGCGAAACGTTCACGTCGACGTCTGTACACCCGCATTCTTCCATCGCGTCGTTCCAATAGAAATCGTGATTCATCACTGAACCAGATTCTACGCCAATTCGGTAGGTTCCAGGCCTGAACGTTGGTGCACCATTGAACTCGATGTCGACGATGTTGTTGTCGAAGCACAGGGCTAAAATAAGGTCTTCTGGCGCGTAAACCAGCCTCTCTCAGCCTGTTTCTGACGGTCTGTGCAGATAGCCTCCTCAATCCGGGCATTTGTCGAGCGGTACTGGTCGCCGTAGCTGTTCGATGACGCAGGTGATGTACCCGGATGTAGCGATCCTGCGCCGCAGTGGTCGCTCGAGGTCGCCCACTACGAGGGGCATCTGCTACCGCATTCTGCCGGCGATATCTCTCCCAGAGCCGTGAAATGGTGCTTTGGTGAACATTCATGCGTCGGCCAACTGCACGTTGAGACTGGCCAGCTTCAAGCAAACCAATGGCGATATGACGGTTGGCTTCACTTAAACGTGGCATTTTGCGTTCGTCAACAATATTCCAAATACAGTGAATAATCGACAGACAGCGATCAACCTTTTATACCCATCATTGAGACTATCTGATCCCTAACTTTCACGTGCATTACATGTGAATTGTGTATTCTGTGACACTACAGGCCGAAATTGAAAATCATGCTGTTAAATACGGGTATTTTACGGATGGTGCGTTTTGTTGTGATGTTTCAAAACATAAACACCATAGGACTCATAAACAGAGCAAAACCTTTTGTAAAATGAATCACGTTTTAATTCATTGCTACATGATATTGCTATTTTCATGATGCGTTTCTTTTTTGGGAGAGTATATATTAAGCGGTATGCGTGCGGATGAGTGCGAGCTTCTGTGAGATACCAGCTATGAATGTTTGTATAATAGTTTTAGGTATGTATCATCAAGATTATCTCTCTTGCCTGCCCCTTGCTATTAATAGGTGACGTCGTTTTTATATCAATGTTTTATATGATGTTAACACGAAATAGGACTTTTCCATTGCATTAGTGGTATGTCAGATGACCGGGATAGAATTTGTCTTCAACAACCCATGCTTGGTTTAAGAGGCAACTGACAGGATTGAGTGGTCAGTCTCGCTGACTTGGTTGACACAGCTCACTGTATCCCATTTACGTAGATCGATGCTCATACTGTTGATCACTAGATTGTCTTGTCAAGACTTCTTTTTCGTTTTTATTGAATCGACGAGATACAGATAAGGTTTGATTCACATAAAATTAAACGTGCAGACAAAAGGAGTTTGAAAAGAGAAAGACAGCGGTATAGACCCAGGGTGCAGAAGGGTTTTACTCACATGGGGACAGAGAAGTCCATTTCATACGAAATTTTTCATCATTTTCGCCGAAAATATGTTTTTCTAGTTTGAAATGGTATTTTATGAAAGTCATATCTTGTTTTGTTAATATATTTCTTGATAATGATAAAAGATGGTTAATCAGGACAGGTGTCCTCCCAGCAGGAAATGTTCAACATTTATACTTAGATTACGGCTGGTTTTGTATCGATAACACTCAACAAATGTAGAGAGAAGGTGTTTTGTTTTTTCACCGAAATAGAATAAATGTTCTAAAATTTCTGTTTCTTTATTGCAGAGGATACAGGCATTATTATCACTGATACCTATCTTAAACAGAAATAGAATAAATGTTCTAAAGTTTCTGTTTCTTTATTGCAGTGGGTACAGTCATTATCATCACTGGTACCTGTCTTAAACAGAGATGACTTAGTGATAACTATTCGATGAATCAGTTTATACTGAAAATTCCTGGGATATTCTCTATGGTAGTTTTATTTATCAATGCAAAACAGTCACTAAGATAGTCATCTGCTAGAGTAATATTAAGGTCAAGACTTGATTATTTTACAGACCGTCGCCATATAGCTGGAATACTGCCGGGTGCAGAGTTAAACTACCACCAACCAACCAATCTAACAAAGACAATAATTATCGAATGTCGAGCCATGGCAAGCGACAAAACTGTATTCACGAGGAAGAGATAAACCGCCCTTCCTCGTCAGGAGATTACTGTTTATTGACCCATCATCAAATTTTTAACATACGAAACTAAAATTATTCTTTCATTCACCCTTTATGAGAGAGGCGAGGACGCGTTTTGTCGCGTGTGAAACGGCCCCAAATTCCGGGGCACGAAACGGCACCAAAACCCATAGATTTTACCAAAGCACAAAATGTTTTCGCGATGGGCAAATAGTTCGATTAGAACAACTCTATTTCTGGGAATATGAAACAAAATGTTCACCACAATACAAAATGTTTTCGCGATAGTCAAATGGTTCGATTAGAACAAATCTATTTCTGGGAATATGAAATAAAATGTTCCAAAATTAGGCATTAAGCATTATTTTAGTTTAATTTATTATCAACATTAAGCATTTCAAAGTAGAAGATGCAGGTGGTAAGAAGGCAGACACGGGCAGTTTACTCCAAACCGTTGACGAGCAAGCCAAGCTGTCGCCATTGCGTCAGGTTAGGTTGACGTCATTACAAAATGGAAATGCTGAAAAGCCAGTGATTTCTACAGCGCTAACTCCAAGTAATGGCAAAGAATGATTCTACAAGAAGTGAAAGTTATTGAGCAAAGCAATGTTATGTGAACAAATGTGTTTAAATAACAGTCAATGTCAGATGTAAACATTGGAATGTCCGTGACCTTGACCTTGATACATTCAGTGTTCGTGAAGCGTGAAGTTATGGGACAGACTGCCAGTTAATGTTCACAAGTGTATGGAAACCAAAACAATACGATCTGTGCTGGGAAAAGGAATTATAGTGGTGCACTCTTATTCTGAATCGGACGATGTCTCTTGGGTATATCGGAGTTTGGAAGGGATTTTGTTCATTGTCAGACGGGACAGATATGTCCATGTTATTTTGACGGGAAAAAGACAGTGTGTACATCTGCATTTGTGTTTTGTGTTTAATGAAGAGGATTGCACAACCATGTCATGTTGTTGTATCGATGAAGAAGGGCGGAAGCCACGTTCGAATTAAGAGCGGCAGTGGTACCGCCGGTGAAGTTCCTGGTTAGAAATGATCTTCAACAACCCATGCTTGTCGTAAGAGGCAACTAACAGGATTGGGTGGTCAGGCTCGCTGACTTGGTTGACATATGTTATCGTATCCCCATTACGTAGATCGATGCTCATACTTGTTGATCACTAGATTGTCTTGTCAAGACTTCTTTTTCGTTTTTATTGAATCGACGAGATACAGATAAGGTTTGATTCACATAAAATTAAACGTGCAGACAAAAGGAGTTTGAAAAGAGAAAGACAGCGGTATAGACCCAGGGTGCAGAAGGGTTTTACTCACATGGGGACAGAGAAGTCCATTTCATACGAAATTTTTCATCATTTTCGCCGAAAATATGTTTTTCTAGTTTGAAATGGTATTTTATGAAAGTCATATCTTGTTTTGTTAATATATTTCTTGATAATGATAAAAGATGGTTAATCAGGACAGGTGTCTCTGGTCCTCCCAGCAGGAAATGTTCAACATTTATACTTAGATTACGGCTGGTTTTGTATCGATAACACTCAACAAATGTAGAGAGAAGGTGTTTTGTTTTTTCACCGAAATAGAATAAATGTTCTAAAATTTCTGTTTCTTTATTGCAGAGGATACAGGCATTATTATCACTGATACGTATCTTAAACAGAAATAGAATAAATGTTCTAAAGTTTCTGTTTCTTTATTGCAGTGGGTACAGTCATTATCATCACTGGTACCTGTCTTAAACAGAGATGACTTAGTGATAACTATTCGATGAATCAGTTTATACTGAAAATTCCTGGGATATTCTCTATGGTAGTTTTATTTATCAATGCAAAACAGTCACTAAGATAGTCATCTGCTAGAGTAATATTAAGGTCAAGACTTGATTATTTTACAGACCGTCGCCATATAGCTGGAATACTGCCGGGTGCAGAGTTAAACTACCACCAACCAACCAATCTAACAAAGACAATAATTATCGAATGTCGAGCCATGGCAAGCGACAAAACTGTATTCACGAGGAAGAGATAAACCGCCCTTCCTCGTCAGGAGATTACTGTTTATTGACCCATCATCAAATTTTAACATACGAAACTAAAATTATTCTTTCATTCACCCTTTATGAGAGAGGCGAGGACGCGTTTTGTCGCGTGTGAAACGGCCCCAAATTCCGGGGCACGAAACGGCACCAAAACCCATAGATTTTACCAAAGCACAAAATGTTTTCGCGATAGGCAAATAGTTCGATTAGAACAAATCTATTTCTGGGAATATGAAACAAAATGTTCTACAATAC